TAAGAGTATGGTCTCAAGGTCCATCCATTTAGCTGTGTCTGAAGTGCATCCTTTATGGCAGAGGTAGTACTCCATTGTTAAAAAAAACCCAAAAAACACATCTTTATCCACTCATTGATTGATGGGCATTTGGACTGTTTCCAGGATTTAGCTATTACAAACTGTGCCACTATAAACATGGGGATGCATATATCGCTGTGGTATGATGCTTTTAATTCTTTCAGGAAGATACCAAGAAGAGGAATAGCTGGGTCAAATGGAACCTCTAGTTTCAGTTTTTTGAGAAATCTCCACACTGATTTCCAAAGTGGTTGCACTAGTCTACACTCCCACCAACAATGGAGAAGGGTTTCTTTTTCTCACAACCCCTCCAGCAATTGTTATTGGTTGATTTCTTGATAGCCATTCTTTCTGGAGTGAGATGGAATCTCAGCATTGTTTTAATTTGCATTTCACGAATGACCAGTGATGTTGAACATTTTCTCATGTATTTATTTGCCATTTCTACTTCTTTATCTGAGAAATGTCTGTTCATTTCAGATGCCCATTTTTGGATTGGGTCTTTAAATTTGGGAGTTCTAATTTTTTTGAGTTCTTTATATATGTTAGATAATAGTCCTTTGATGAATAGCTAGTAAAAATTTTTTCCCATATTGAGGCTTGTCTCTTCACTCTATTGGTGGTTTCTCTTGCTGTGCAAAAGCTTTTTAATAAAATGAAGCCCTAGTTATTGATTCTTTGTGCAGTCTGGGCTTTGTTCATGAAGTCTTTGCCTCCTCCTTTGTCCACAGGTGTTCTACCTATCTCTCTTGCAGCAGATTTAGTGTTTACACTTTAATATTTAGATCTTTGATCCATTTCAATTTTAGATTAGTGCATGGTAAAAGATATGGGTCTAATTTCAATCTGGCTTTCCACGTAGCATGTTTTTCCAGAACCATTTATTAAAGAGGTGATCTTTCTTCCAGTGAAGTTGTTTGGCTCCTTTGTCAAAGATTAAGTGGCTGAATATGTCTAGAGTTGTGTCTGCATCTTCTAGTCTCTTCCATTGATCCTAAGGTCCGTTCTTTTGCTATTACCATGCTGTTTTTATAATTGTAGCTTTGTAGTATAATTTAAAGTCAGAGATTATGATACCCCTTGCCTTGCCTTTGTTGCCCAGAATTGCCTTTGCTAGTCTAGGTCTCTTCTGCTTCCAAATAAATTTTAGGATTGTTTTTTCTAATTTGGTGAGATATGTTGTTGGAATATTGATTAAGATTACATTAAATCTGTATAACAATTTTGGAAATATGGCCATTTTCACTATATTGGTTCTTCCTATCCAAAAACAAGGGATATCTTTCCATTTTCTGATATCCTCTTCAATCTCCTTTTTCAGAGTACTGTAGTTTTCAATGCAGAGAACTTTTACTTCCTTTGTTAGATTGATTCCTAGGCATTTCATTTTTTTGGATGCTGTTGTGAAAGGGATTCTATAATTTCTTTCTCCGTGAGTCTGTTATTTGTGTACAGGAAAGCTATTGATTTTTGGGTGTTGACTTTGTATTCAGCTGTGCTACTGAATTTGTTTGTTTGTTTGTTTTTTGGTACCAGGGATTGAACTTGGGTCCTTGTGCTTGCGAGGCAGGCGGCGTAAATCCCTAGCCCTGTCTACAAGTCTTTTGGTGGAGTTTTTGGGATCTTCTATGTAGGGTATCACTTTTAAATAATGATAATTTAACTTCTTCCTTTTCTATCCTTCTTCCTTTTCTTTCTTTCTTTTGTCTGATTGCTCTGGCTAGTGTTTTCAGAACTGTATTGAACAAGAGTGGTGACAGTGGACATCCTCCAGAAGTTTTAAATTTTGAAACAGTCATGCTGCTTGTCCAGGATGGCCTCCGACTTGTGATTCTTTTCTTGCCTCAGTCCTCACAGTAGCTGAGATTGCAGATGTACAAAACTTTGCCTGGCTATATTAGATTTTTATGTAGATCTTTTTTTTTCCCCGTGTTATTTAGGGACATATATTAGATCTGAAGAAGAAAGTCGGAACTATGTAACAGGCTACTTTGTTTCTCTTGTAAGGATTCAATGAACCAGAGATAAGAAATTATTTGCTTAAGTTCCATTTGCAAATACAGTGGTAGAATACAAATGAAACCCCAATTAATTTTGTGCAGTCTTATGGGGATATTCTGTGATGGAATGGGTTTGGCTTTTGAATCATATTATCAGTTCAAATCCTGGCTCAGCCCCAGTTGGCCATCTTTCTACCAGAAAAGTCACGGCACTAAAAATTAGGTGCTATTTTCTCTTTTACTTAAACAGATTTCATTATCCTGTAAGTGTTCCCTGGAATTGTGGCCATACTATTTTATATATTTTTGAAGTATTTACCATTTTAGTCACTTTAGCTGATTAGGTGGACTACTTTCAAGATACTATTTTATGTCTTGCAAGTCAGGGTCTCCTGCAGACCCTGTGAATAAATCATCAAAAAGGACAGTGGTACTCATTTGTTTTAAAAAAAAATCACAGCAAATATAATTTATTGTATTTAAATGCATTTTCTAATCTATGACAAGTCTTCTGAATTGTCTCACTTGTTAAGTGAATATTTCTAGGATATTATATTCTGCCGACAGAGCTTGCCTCTTGAGTTTTATGTAACATAGATTTACCTTTCTTGAAGCCTCCTGGTTTTCCTTCTACACATTTTAAAATCAGTTCTTACTAGGTTAAAATGGGTGTGTTTGTATGTATATGTATATATGCATGTGTATACAGTTGTCCTGTGCTTTTTGATTTTTATTACCACCTTACTTTGTCATGAAGTTACTTAGTGTTCAAGTACCCTAAGTTAATTGTGAATACCTTTCTAAGCATATATGAGAGACTGGCAGAAAAGTAGATCTTTTCCTTTCTGTTCTTGTAGACATGAGTATTTGGTCTTCAGGAGGGTCAGCCAGGTAAGATAGATACCTATTTGAGAGGTGTGACGCAAAGCGCATGCACATAAAAAGATTACAGAGGTTAATATTTTTACAGTGAGATTGAAGATGATAATTAGAAAATCCAAACTGTCTTAAAGGAGAAGGAATTTACTAGTGCATAAACTGAGAATACTGAGTCAGATCCAGGGGCTCTAATAATATCATTAGGAATACTACTCTCTTCTGATTGATGGTGTGTTAGCCTTATTTTCTGACAAACTTTCTTAAAGAATGACCATAATAATGACGAGAAGACTTCTGTAGCCAGGTCCTCTTTTTCTTTCTTTTTTTTTTGGTACCGGGGATCGAACTTGGGTCGGCGGAACCACTGAGCTAAATCCCCGGGCCTCTTTTTCTAATAGCTTCAACCAAAGTAAATAGCGTTAACAAATATAGAATTAAGTCTTTTTTGGCATATCTTAGGTAATATTTCCTGAGCCAATCACTGTGACCTGAAAAATGCCATAATTTGAGCAGTTCTGGGCCATATATTTACTCCTAAATTTAGTGGTGAGGAAGGGATACAGTTAGGATTGAGATCATCTCTTTACGAGCCACATGAACTAAAAGTAATGGGGATAGGATTTTTCCAAAGGACAATTAGGATTCTTTTACCAGAAACTAAATTGATTAGAACAAGCATATTCATGATGGTATAAAAGTCTGATAAACCCATGTTAATCAGAGGTGGTGGCAGATCACTACAATGCTAGATTCCCTGTGTGCCTTAGTTAAATGGCTCTGAAATGTTTTTTGTATTAATGTCACATGGGAAGCCTTTAGATATTTTGATGCTGTGCCTGTATCAGAGACCAATTTAATGAGAATTTCTAGGGACATCACAGAGCCTCTGTGATTATTTTTTGAAGTTCCTCAGCAATACCATGCCAATAAAAGAAGGTAGGGAGGGTTGCTGTGCAAATAGGACTCAAAAAGAGGAGTATCAATCAGATGACAGAGAAGTTCTTATTGGAGAAGCAAGATCCATAGAGAGAACATAGAGAACATAGAGACTTCTGTCCTGGGAGTCTGGGAATAATCCCCAGTCAAGGAAGTGATGCAAGAAGAGACTTAGAACTCTGGTGATAACTTTCAAAAGAAGCCTAGTTTGAGAGCATCTGTCCAGAATCATAAGAATCAAAATCTGTCCTTGTCAGCGTCAATAGATGTCTTTCCAGAGCAGTGGCTTACGAGTCTAATTCACCAGTGGATTTTCCCCATCAGTCAGCCAAAAGTGAAGAAAAATGTTTCAAAGGCTCACACAGAGGGTCCTGGGTGACTATTCTGAGACTCCAGGGATGGACCCGATACTGAGTCATGGCAACTGTAACTGTTGAAAATCATTGATACTCGTAAAGCATAATAAAGGCAAGCTTTATTTAGGACAGTCATAGTAGTTACAGGAGCCTCAGCAGTGGAATTTTGCAGTTGGTGAAAAGAAATTGGGCTCAACTCCTATTACAGGATGAGCTAGTAGGATGATAAAGTCAGAAGCAGAATGGGATATCAGTGAATAAAAGTTAGTAAGACGTAACATCAAGAGCAAAGGGGATTCTGACTAAACTAACATAACACTGTTCTTGCTGAGGATAGGCCATGGTGATCAGACATAATCTAGGGCAGTGGGGTAAACCTATGGCACGAGTGTTCTTTCAAGACAAGATGTTAATGTGTGAGTTGTTATTTCTAAACTAAGACCTCGGTATTCAGGTTTAATTGCAGTGCTGGCACTTTGCGATAATAAGTGGGTTTTGAGTTGCAGTTTGAGCATTTGGGTTGGCCATCACTGATCCGGGGGGTGGTGGAGGATAAGAAATCTAATCACATAGCAAGAGTGATTAGGTATTGAAGGCAGGGCATTTTTGCTAAACTGGGATTTTACAAGGAAATACATAGAAATGGCTAGAGGACAGTTGAGAAGCATGACTAAAATTTGGTCAGGGAAAGTTATGTTTAATGTCAATAGATGCAATTTTTTTATAATGCATTTTTTTTTCTGTTTTTATGCTGTTTTGTTTTAAACAGGCTAATAGCTCGTCACCTTGCTAAAATCCATGCTATCCATGCACACAATGGCTGGATCCCCAAATCTAATCTGTGGCTAAAGATGGGAAAATATTTCTCTCTCATTCCCACAAGATTTGCAGATGAAGACATTAATAAAAGGTAAGCTTACTTTTACATTTGAAATTTTTTTGGTACTGCTTTGTTTTATAAGAACTCAAAGATAGCTGCAAGGTTTTTATGTATGAAGTCTGGTTTATCTCTTTGCATTAGAATAAAAAAAAAAACATTGATTTTCAGATGGCACAATGGAAATAACTGCCATCTACTTCTGCTCCCTTGCCCCAAATTAAAGAACCCTGTGACAGCAAAAAGGTGGAGGTAGAGGGACAAGAAACAAATGCAGAACATCTGTTTGGAAATAATAATAAAGGTCACAGTGAATGGGGGCATTTTTTCATGAGTTGGCCATAAAGATCTTTTTTCAAAAAAAAATTCTTTTCGTTTAAAGGTGATTTGAAAAGGCCTAGAGATTTATATTGAGATAGGGTAGTAATATGAAGAACTTGGGTTATTTTAATTTACTAATACTATTTACATGCCAAATAGTGAGGCTGAATATTGGCTTACTGGATTTTCATTGGGCTTTTGTGAGACTTGACTCCCCAGGATCAAACAAACTATGGTGTTTCATTATTTCTTATGTAAAGGGCTTACAGATTGGTATTTAAAATCTAAATCATATGAATCATATAGCATGGTTGTTACTTATACAAAGCTGAAGATTTTATTTTGTCCTTTATATCCGAATCGTATGTAAAGGCTACATTGTTGCGTTTAGGAAATCTTTCAAGAACAACAGAGGCAGGCAGGCAGGACCTATAATAGGTTTTCTTCTCCCTTGTCTCTTCTGACTTTTTATAATTTGTTAGGGAAAACTAGTTCTTGGATTTGATTATTTAAAAGTTTAATTTGATGTACTCTGTAAAGTCAGCCCTCTTTCGACACTCTGCATCTATAGATTCTACCAACTATGGATGGAAAATATTTGAAAAAAATTATGCCTACATTGAACACCTACATTTTTCTTGTCATTGTTCCCTAAACAATACAGTATAACACTGACATAACATTTATGTTATATTAGGTATTAAGTAATCTAGAGATAATTCAAAGTATAGAGGGAGATGTTCATAGGTTATGCGTAAATACTGTGCCATTTTACAGAAGGGTCTTGAACATTTTAACTGTTGTTTAGTTTTCAAATTCATATTTAGGCACATTCTAAAGATTTTCTTTGTTTCAGCTTTTTGAAATTTTCAACTACTTTATACATTGGTTTGATGTTTTAATTCAGGAGTATGTGCAATTAAATGGGAAAGACTTACCCAAAATAGATTTTAATCCTTAATCAAACTTGAAAAAATGTCATTAAGATAAGCTACAACTCTTCTTTTGAAACTAAAAGGTTCCTAAGTGATATCCCAAGCTCTCAGATTCTTCAGGAAGAGATGACTTGGATGAAGGAGATTCTTTCCAACCTGGGCTCACCTGTTGTGCTTTGCCATAATGACCTATTGTGTAAGAATATAATCTACAATGAGAAACAAGGTAGGTATTTGACCTTAGCAGTAAGGAAAGGTTGATTTCTTCTATTTTCTTAATGGTCTTTTGATCTTTATATGAATAAAAATAAATATAATTCAAATGTAAGGATTAAAAACATGCATAAAACCTTTAAATATTTTCTTTTAGGCTATAAGGCCATGATAACTGTGATGAATTAGGAGTATACTATATATATTTGTATAAAATGTTTTTGAAAATTGGTTTGTTAGAAATAGTTGTTCGTGTTGGATATCTAAGTATAAAATGATGAAATGCTTTTGTTTATATGTATAACTCTGAAACCTATTTGGTTATTTATGATTTGAAAGTACATCTGCTTATAATGAGGGTTATGGAAAAATCAACAAGTTGACATTGCACTGCTTTATTTCTGTTTTCACAGAAATTTTCGGACAGTGTTAGGAAACATGCTGTTGTATTAGAAACAAATGTATCTTTAGGGTTTTCATCACCTGTTTATTGTGTTGATTTGTTATATATGTTGATGCTAGGGAGAGAGCCAGAGATGAGGAAGTATTTGTAGTTGCTCAAATTTACATGTACTAAAGTAATAATCAAGAAGCTTTTATTAAACAGTTTCAATATTTTTTGAGGTAGACATTGATACTTTTAGATGGAATTTTTTGTGAATGTTGATATATTGTATTTAAATTTTCTGGTTTTTTAATCTAAGCAACATTTGGTTGTATTATATCATTGGGTAAAGTGGTTTGAGGTTTGGTTGCTAAAGGGTAGATGCTCTTCAAATACTAAATTGACATTTAAAAATATAATTTTGGTTAAAGAATTAGCATTAATTTAAAAATTGTGCTTGAAACTATGACATTATTGCTTTTCACAGGAAACCGATGTTTGAAGATAATCGTAATTAGAATATAATATTTTGAATCAGAAGTATGCTGTTGCAAATAAATATCAGCCAAAGAATTCTCATTAACATGGTCATAATTATTCTGTTACTACTTATGACCTTTATTATTGTAGTTGGGACTATTCTAATACAAAGGTTTTTAATATTTATAGCCAACTTTAACTTGAAAACCAGCCAAAGGAACACTGTCAGGGTTTGAGTATTGTTTATATTTAATGTGGATTAGAAGTTATATTTTTAGACATACTGAGCTAACATTTTTAAGTTTGAATCATCATGAAATTTTTTGGTGGAATCAGTTTTATTTTAAAATTCAAGTACACCCTAAAATCTTAAGTACTTGGCAGTGTCCTTTAATGACCATTTATTATACCTACTTGTCATAGTATATATGCACTCTACAGTATGTTAGTAACCAAATCTCAATACCATTTATGAGACAAGAACATTAGCTATGGAGTGAAACAGTGTATTAGCTTTTAAGTTCAGTGTAGGTCCTAATAACACATTTTATATGGTGGACTTTCAAGTGAGGGACTTCATCTTACATTTGAAGTGGACACTCAGCTTTATTTTTAACTGCAAGTTAATAAAGAGAATCTGTTATTTCTTTTGTAATATAATTTAACCTTCCATATTTTTATTTTTATGTTTCTTTTGCATATTCATTTTATAGAAAAACTTGATTTTAACACTAAGGGACCAAAAAAATCAGATTACTTTGTTTTAGGTATGTACTTCTCATTTAAATAGTTGCCTGTCTCTAAAGTATTGGTCAGCTATATTAAAAGTGTGCACACGCACTCACGTACACACACACACGCCAAAAGTTACCTCAAGCATACGTTTGCGTCTTGTTTTTTATTTCCTGCACAGAAGAATACGTTCATCTCCACAAATGTAACTATTTTGATATAGTTTTTAGAGTTGACCCTTTATCAGTAGATGTCCATTTTGTGCCATTTGTTTCTTCTTGTCTTTGTGGTTATATTTGTTAGTTACGGAAAGATTGTGGTTTTTTCCTTCTCCTCTCAGTCAGCAGTTTTATAATGTCTGTTAGGAAGGCTAATTTGGACCTGTAGCATCCATTTGAAAAAATTACATTCCTATGTGAATAGTTGATACATCAGCATTGAGAAAATATGGTTACAGTGTTCAGGTAAAATCTAAACTCAAGGAAGTAAGGTTAAGAAGCTTAGCCTACTCTTTAGCGTCAAGTTTCATATTAGGAGCTGATGGGTTTGGGGTAATGGAACTGTATGGCTTGAGTTTTTGGTCATAAGTAGAGGATAACGTCCCTCATAGTCTGTAAACTTAGAAAGTTTAATGTACAAAAGCTTCATGTTGGACACTACAGCACTGCATTGATACTTACTGTAGTGGTCTCAGAAAGGTTCTTCAAAACTTCAAATATAGACCCCAAAGTTATTTAGCTGGTTACCTTGTTACAGCATATAAGAGCCAAGTTGAATCTTTTGAGATTTAAATAATTTCCATATAGAATAATTGATTAAACTACATACTGTGTTCACAAACATGTTTCATTTGTTGTCTCTCTTCAAGTAATTCATATGACTGGAGATCAGGACTTTAACCTTTTGAGATTCTAAGAGATACAAATAATGAATGAAAGCCAAGGGACTGACCTTCACATTTGTAGTGTAATTCAGTCTCTTCACTTCTCAAAAGTATAAATTTTAGGCAAACTCAATAAATTTATACAGGATCACCTTGAAGTCTGCATATATTTTCCAACAAAATAATTTAGGTTTTGTATATTTTAACTAGAAATCTCTAAGCAATTCTCAAAAATAGATGTATTAACTTAGGTATGACTAAGACAAGTCCGAATATAGATTTTGGAACCAAGGACACTTTAGTCACTTAATAGAAGTTAGTGATATTAAACCAATCATTTTATCTCTTTAGAAGTATTAACTTTTGAGTTTCTGACTATTTGCTTGAGAATCAGTTAGTGTTCTTGGAAAAATGCAGATTTCTGGTTCCTGACCAAGACCAACTAAACAAGAATTTCTGTAGATAGACTGAGAAATCTGTATATTTAACAGATTCTCAGGCAGTAATAATACTATTGGTATTCTTGAGCTTAAGTTTGGTTTATTTGAAATGTAAGATGATATCTATCTCAGATGATTGCTGACAGGATTTTAGATCATGCATTTAGAATACATAGCCTGGTCCACATACTTAACTGCTGTCAGTTGTAGCTGTAATATACTAAGATAGGGACCCACAATTTTTTTTGGTAAGAAACTGAAATGATACATCTTTTAGATTTTGTGGGCCATACGATAGTTTCTACTGTAGCTATTCAACTCTGTGTTATAGTGTGAATATACCATGGACACTACATAAGTGAATGACGTGTCTGTGTTCAGATAAGACTTTACTTCCAGGGCCGGGGATTTAGCTCAGTGTTTCCGGCGCCTGCCTTGCAAGCGCAAGGTCCCAAGTTCGATCCCCGGTACCAAAGAAAAGACTTCACTTCCAGAAACAGGTAGTGAGCTGGATTTGGCCTGAACACACATCAAGTGTGCCAACCCTGTATTATGTTTATTGCTTGCATTTATTGAATGTCTCAGACTATGAAAAGGTGAAAACTGGTAATAACTAGTAGAAGTAGACTTACAAATGTTAGATAACAATTTGGTTTGTCTTTAGAAGCAGCTTTAGTTTCTATCTCAACTATAATTTCAGTGATTAAAAATTTTAAAGTGTATCTGTATGGGTATATTTGTATGTGTGTATGCATGTTTCTACATAGTGCACACAAAGAGCATGCACACCTCAGAGACTGACAGGCATCACAGGAGGAATACTGCCTCTGCATGTTCTCACTCCTGCTGGGTTACAGGACTTAGGAGTGTGGAGGATGAATGGGTTTCTGTTTGCAGTTGATAACTGTCAGGATTTTCAGAGATGAAAAACGAGTGCATGAAATTCAGTGGTTGGGAAACAGTGGCTTTCCTTGTTTTCAGTGACATATTGTCCCCAAAAGGTAGGAAAAGAACACTTAATGAGATGAGATAGAATTTGGAACAAATAAGAAACCAAAAGCAGTAGTTCTTGCTTCATCAACTCAAATATTTTAACTTTAATCTTTTATTTGATGTGTCAGTAATTTTTAAAGCTTTTGAGATTGCTTTCTCATATCTTGATGCTTTTTTCAGTATGTTTATTGTTCTGATGACCTTTGTTGGTTATCTCCCCCCATTTCTATTAAAAAGCTCATATGAGGATCTAGTAGCTGACCACACTGCTCCATACCCATAATTGCAGCTACTTGGGAGGCTGAGGCGGGAGGACCACAGGCTTGAGACCAGGTTGTACAGCTTAGCAAGACCTTGTCTCAAAGGGAAAAAAGCAGTGGCTGTTGCTCATTGGTAGAGTACATGCCTAGCCTTGTGTAAGGCCCTGAGTTTAATCACCCGCACTGCAAAAAATCCCCCAAAACCCCCAAAATTAAAGAAAGCAGCTACTATATAAATTCAAGTTTCAGTAATGGAGATATCTATTTTCTTTGAAAAGCAAAATACAAGAAGGTGATTTATAGCTCTTTAAGGAAATACAAATGAGTGGAAAAGGGAAGCTTTTTCTTGGATTTCTAGGGTAAATCAGGTTTTTTAAAAGAGATTTACCCAGTATAAATAGAATGTGGATGAGTCATCATTTTTTGTCACTTGACTGGCTGTGTTATCCACTCTGTAATTATTAGTTTAAGGCATTGTTGATTTAAAATGCTTTTCATTTGTTTAAGTAAAGATTAGTCTTGCTAAGAGGTTTACAGAGGACTTAGGTATTTGTGCTAGGCTGAGACCTGTATGGTCCTTTACAGAACTAGCCCTGAGAAATATTTACCTATATAAACAAATATAAATATATTTATTGATGGGATAACCAAAGCATGTATATGACCATATGTTTGTATATAAAGCGGAAATGTATTCATATTTATATGTAGCTGTCTCTGCCTCCCTATACTCAGCAGAAAAGTCACAAGCGCAGTATTTGATACAAATGGATACAAAACCAAAAGGAAGTATTTTGAATAAATGAGGATACATACCTCTTAATGCTTTTCTTTTCTTATACATTATGAAAACTTTCAAACAAAATGTAAAAGGATTATAAAGTGTCATCATGCATGTACCTGACACCTAAATTGTAGAATTGTTGACAAGTTTGTGCTTTATCACATCATTCTGTCTCTCCATCAATTTGTCTTACTGCTTTTTAAAAAATTATTTCAAAGTGAGTCGCAGACATCAGTGACCTTCATGCCTCAACACTTCAACATGAATAACATTGAGTTCAGGATTTCATTACAGTGTAATATTCAGGTCTTAAGCATAACAAGCTGGACACAGTGGCTGGCGTGTGTCTCTAGTCCCAGGTACTTGGGAAGCTGAGCACAGGAGTTTAGGCCAATCTGGATAACCCTGTCTCCTTTTAATGAAACAGAAAACTCAAACATACAGGTCAGTGAATTTTGACAAATGTGTGCATCCTATAACTCAAACACCTATAACAAGTATAGAACATTTTCATCACCCAAGAAAGTTTCCCATGCTTTCCTGAAGGATAATCTAATCTTAACCCTGTATTAGTTTATAACTTAGCCTCCTAAGTAATAAGAAACCTAAATTAATTTTAAAACTCTGAATGCTGGGGATTTAGCTCAGTGGTTTCCACTGCCTGCCTCGAAAGCGCAAGGACCCGAGTTCGATCCCTGGTACCAAAAAAAAGAAATAAATAAAAACTCTGAATGACCTAAACTTAAAATGAGTTGTTTTTGTTTTTTCTTAAAACACATGCATCGGGCCCATTGTATTTAGTCGTATCTTTGGATAAGAATGTCAGAAAATAACCACACTTTTTTCTTCAACTTTTTATGCTTATCTTGTGCCCTCCCCCTTTAAGCATATATTCTTACTATGTCTCAGCTTTCTCTGCCAAACCCCCATTTATTCCACTAGTTTTTGAATCCTTCCCATGTGCTAGGAATTAATTGCTCTGTGATTTACATGATGAAAAGTGAAAGGAACCTTATTGCCCCACCATGAGGCTGTGTGTCATGTAGAACAGTCAGATGACAGGACAGTCAGTCGGAATGTGGAGTACTCTGTTGCAGCTGCACACCGCATACTATTGCACAGCACACTAGGAATGAAGTTTTCCAGACCAGAATACTCTCTCTTTCCCTCACAAGGCAGAAAACTTTTGCTAACATTAGTATGACTATAGCTACTTTTCTTTTTATTCTCTTTACATCTCACACGGCAGAACAAGTGAGTTGGAAAGATTTTTAGGTTTACACATTGACTATTTTACTTTTCCTTTTTTTGCCTTTACCCTTGACAACAAAACAATCCAAAGATGTGTTATATGATAAAATTTTATAGGTGTAAGGTAATAAGTTACTATGTTTTTGGCTTTAAAATTCTTTTAAAATTTGAAGACTTTTTAGTGTACTGAGATTTGAACAGTTTAACTCAGTGTGTGGATTTTTATTACTTTAGTGAAGATATGAGGGAAATATAGTTTTTAAAAACTCCAAAATATAGCCTTTGAAAATTCAAATTATCGTTTAATCTGTTAATCATATCCTTTGCCCATTATGTGTTTTTCATTGTGCTAATTATATAGAGATAATATAATGCTAGACTTCAGACTAGTGTTTTGCTTTTTAGAGGCCAAGGATCCCTTGAGAATCTTGCGAATTGCAAATCCCTCCTTCAGAAGTAGTACACACATAACATTGTAGGGAGGAGTCTCATTGCCCTCCACCCTTGAAACCTCAGTGCATGAAAAATTTTAGAATCAGAAGCTACATTTATAGGAGAAAAGAAATAATGTTTTCTTTTGATAGAAAAACATTTTCCAATACTGTAATTTGATTTTTCTGGCACCCTAAATAAGGCAGTAAGCCTAATTTTACTTTGTTGCAGAAGATTAAATTTAAGGTTGAGTTCCACTTTGTTTGTAATAATTTGAAAAAGAATAGTTAATGCGGATTTTTAAAAGACAATTTCTTTCCTTTTAAGCTTTGTGTCTTGTAAAATGTGAGTTTGCCAAATTTTCTTCGTCTGCTACAGATTAGGTATGCCATTGTTGCTGCCATGTGGCGGCGCACCCCGTGCTTCTTAAACGCACTGACTGGAGGTTTATCGCATCACTTGTTCACATGCACGGAGCCTGGTAACAGCCTCATCTGTATCTTGTTAGCTTCATTTTCTTATTTTTTTAAATTTCATTATTTATAAAATCAACATAGCATTTAAAAATAAAGGCTAGTTTTAATGAATTAACGTTACTACAAAAAGTCATTGCTAAAATTGTCATGCTGAAACAGATTTTAACTTTTGTTAAAATGATCTATGTTTTAATTAAACTGTATTTACAGGCAGGCATGTTTTTACCTGCCATTTTAACTATATTTGCCAAATTCTAAATATAATTTGAAAAGTAAAACTAAAGTTGAAGCTTTTATTTATGTGGCAAAAGTAAACTTCAGGACTGGGCTGTGTATTTTTATTGGCTTGTAACAGTAGATATGAGCTCTACAAGAATTTGTGTTTAAAGAGCTAATGCAATCAACAGCTGCAATGTTAAAAATTATGTATTAAAACTGTTTAGTAGGCTCAGTTGTGTGCCTTGATAAATCTTGTGTGCTGGAAGGCTTGTGGATAGGTATTTCTGAGTCATTGTGTTTGGTCTTTTACTTATTAACAGTTTTTTATATAGAGAATTTATCTTTTTTTTTTTTTGGTACCGGGGATCGAACTCTGGACTTTTCGCTTGCAAGGCAGGTGGTGGAACCACTGAGCTAAATCCCTGGCCCTCAATAATTTTACTAGGTTTTTTTTTGTACCGGGGATTGAACTCCTGACCTTGCGCTTGGGAGGCAGGCAGCAGAACCATTGAGCAAAATCCCTGGCCTAGATCATCTTATTTTTAAAAACAGCATTTTCCTCTGAAAAAGTAATACTGAAAATAATTTAAAAACTAGAAAAATAAAAGGAAGAAAGTCACTTGTCTAACACTTGTAATAAAACCAACTGAAACATTTTGTTTTTATTTCCATTCATCTTTTTTTTATCCCATGCAGTATGTTTTAATAATTTGGATCACACTGTGTCGACTAATTTAGTATCTTTTCCACATGGCATTTAATTCCTTTTTATTTTTGAAAATGAGATGTTTTTCATGGCTTTGGTTTATTTGATTTTCATAGCTGCAAGTATTTTATCATGTGGAACCCTCTCATTCCTTGTAACTTCTAGAAAAGAAGTTTTAAAACACGCTCTGTTCTGATTTCCCCTTCTGCAGTTCCATAAAGTGATTTAGTTAACAATAAGAATTTATGTAGAATAATGTTCTGGGAATGCAAGAATATAATAGTTGGGGTTAAATTGCAGTGATGATTTATTCTCACCAACATTTTAGAATGCTACATTTACTGTAACAGCATGCATTCTGTTTTGCTAACTGGAATATACTTTGGTCCTTCTCACTTACCCTCTAGGTGTGACTTTCTTACTTCTCCCTTGCTGGGGTGTGAACCTAGGGCCTGTGTGTGCTAGCGAGTGCTCCATCACCAAGCTGCACATCATCAGTGCTTTACTGTTATTCACATAGCTTTAGAGTTATGCTAAATAGTTATATTTTTTAAAAAGTTTCTGCTTTTATGTAAAACCCTACATGTGCCATGACTTTTTTGTCATATAATTATATTTTTCTCTGTGCTTGAATATAATCCGTATACAGTACTTCCCTAACTGAAATATACAAATCTATGTCAAAGCATTATAGTTCAAAGGTTTTTTTATTTCAGAAATGCCAGTGTGTACAGACAGTGTGTCTGTTTTGTTACCTCACACGTAGGGTGACTACAGAATTACGTTTTCTCAATATAAGCAGCTTAGAAATTGTTCTTGTAGTCATCTCTGTTCTATTTTCATTTTTAACTTCGTATGCCTGTAAGTCTTTGAGCATGTGATCCTTAAGTGTAGACAGTGACTCGTTAATTTTTTTAAAAACATCTATCCCTGGTATAGACAGTGACATTACTTTTTTAGAAAGTTACTTTCTTTTTTCTTTTTTTTTCTGGTCTATATAGAACCTGCATTTTGTCAGATTAAGACCTACACAAAAATTGAAAGTTCCTAAATAGGGGTATTTCACTTGTCCAGGGAGAATAAGATTATCTTTGGAGAATTATAATGAAATATATATAGTATATATGTAGCAAAATTTAGAATAGGAATCGTAATTTAGCTTATGCAAAACTTTCTTAAATTTATAAATACTGAGACAAAACTGTGTCTTTCTTTTTAAAAGGTGAAATTACCACCTTAATGCTGCTCAGTTATGGAAACCTTAGTTATGTAGCTTTTCAGGTAAATAGAAGATTATGATAAGAACGAACTTCTTAAATTGGTGATACTGTTAAATTCATCATCAAGTGTTAGAGCATTTCTCTTCAGATTTACAGAATTCAAGTCTTTCAAAATTTGTATTTGATTTTTGTATGTGGATAAGCTTGTCAATTTATTGTTAGGTATCATAAATTAAGTTTTTGTTAAAATGGCATAGATTATTAACAATTTCCAAAGATGTTATTGCTAATTAAACTTAAAGTTTTAAGTTACTGATGCCCCCATGTGGTGAAAAACATTTTGCTTTTGTTAGAATCTGGAGAATGACTTAATTTTTTTCCTTAATAAAGTGGTCATTAGTATTCATGAGAAGCTGTTGAACAAGAGACATTATTTGAATTTTGTAAAGCTCATTGCCATAAAATTCACAGCCTTACCCTGTATTGTCTCAGAAGTGCATGTAACCAAGCACATACATTGAGACAAAATATTGGAAGCTATTTAATTACAAATAGCATAGGGATTGTCTGATCTTATATGTGGTTTCTTAATATCTTTGTGTTTGTGTCTCACATAGGTGATGTACAGTTCATTGATTATGAATATTCTGGATACAACTACCTGGCATATGATATTGGAAATCATTTCAATGAATTTGCAGGTAAAATCCAAGGCTTAAATAATGGAGTAACTTATTTAACTTTGAAATATTTTCAGAATTTTTTCTTCTTAAAAGATCACCTGGCAGCATCAGCAACTCTTTGTACTTCTGCTGACTTTTTCTTTGTTTTTGTTTATTTCTGGAAGAAAGAGATTACCAAAATTTCTTCCATAATTGACTTCAGAAAATAATGGCTAGGAGGAAGATGATGCTTGTGGCTTCTGTTGAAACTTTAAGGTTTTAAGAGTTTGAACCTAATTATCATTTAAAACCCTGTGCTGTGGTTGAAGGGTATAGTTCAGTGGTAGAATACCTGCCTAGCATCTTGAGGGCCTAGGTTCAATCCCTATCTCTGAAAGCCAATAAAGCAAGGTGTTACTGTTGTAAACTTGTATTTTGAAAATTTCTTTTTAAAAAGCTCAAGATTTCTTAAACATTTTGGTTATGATTATTGAAAGGTTGGTAATTTTTACTCTTGGGTATTAATCTATAATCATCTTCAAGTATAAAAGTTGAGTTGCTTTTATGTAAGTGGAATTAATTTAAAACTCATTTTAACACTCTGTATTTAGAAACATGAAATGCCCTATAACTAAGGATTAGGAAGTTCCCTTGGATGGTTTATACCTAGTAGAAATATTTCATTGCTGAATTTTCATTTGTCCACATTCTTTTATTCATGTGTTTTTATATATTTCAGGTTTGCAAACTGGTAAGTAAGTTTGAAAAAAAATTTTTTTTTTTTTTTTTTGGTACGGGGGATCGAACTCAGGTCCTTGTGCTTACATAGCAGGTGGTGAAACCACTAAGCTAAATCCCCGACCCCCTGAAAAAATTTTTGATTGACACCGTTTTAGTTATTTTCCTCCACCAAGCTTATTATATACACATCATAACTCCACAAATCTGCTGCATTGTTTTCTTTTTTAATATGTTACCTACTAGGAATTGAGCTGTTTATATTTTTGGGACATGACCTTCTGAAGTCACTAAGTTGCTCAGGTTGGGCTTGATCTTGAGACCCTCTTGCCCTAACCTCCCAGAGTGCTGGGTAAATAACAGGCTTGCTGCACCATACCTGACCACTGCACATATTTTCTTATCTCATTTATAGGACGGGAAACCAGCTGTACATATATATAATGTGATAACGACCATGTTAGTAACATAGTGTTGTGGATATGAAAGAGCAAACTACAGTGATCTTAGACCAGTTTTGTAGAGAAAAAAATTGAGCTGAAACTTGAAAATTAGGTAGAATTTGAATATTCAAATATAAGAGATAGGAAGACACTACAGGAAAGGGGAGGAAAAGTTTAAGATTGAGTTTCCTTTGTAGGTACAATATAAAATTGCTGAAGAAGAAAAAGTTGTAAGACTAGAGATAAGTTTAGACCACTTTATGAAGAACCTTGAATGCCAGAAAAATAGAGCTATATCTTCTAGATTTGTATTTTTCAAACTGTAGATTATGAAATCAAATTTGTGCAATAATATAAATTAAGAAATGGAAAAGAATAGGAATAGAAATGTCAGAGTTGGAAGATAGAGTATATATTGTTTTGTGAAACATAATAATGGGTACATGTATAAAGTCTCAGTAATATATGTATTTCTTACCCTGATTCATAGTCAGAAAAGTTTGGAGCCACAGTTTGAGGTAGTGCTCCAAACTGCCATTAGTATGCTAAAGACTTCCTGAGTACCTGCTGAATGGCAGATTCTGGGCTTTAGGTGCAGATGGTTCAAGCTACACACTGTGAGGAAAAATTGAAGCAGTGAGAATTGATTATGGTCATGAACAACTGTGTGCCTTAGAGTTTAAGCTGGAATACAGAATGATTTATTATTTTAATAAATGCTATTTAACGTCTATTGTTGCAGTCAGAAATGAAAAGATTTTGTTAGGTTTTTATGAAAAAATGTTGATAGTAATGATGATTAAGGTAGGTAGAAGAGTATGTGTTTTTAAAATGGTCCATGTATTTTTTTTCACTAAAGGTGTAAGTGATGTGGACTACAGTCTTTATCCAGATAGAGAACTACAGAGCCAGTGGCTGCGTTCTTACCTTGAAGCCTACAAAGAATATAAGGGTTTTAGGACCGAAGTTACTGAAAAGGAGGTAGAAATACTCTTCATCCAAGTCAATCAGTTTGCATTGGTAAGTTTAAATGCAAACAGTTAAAGATTCTTATTGTAATTTTAAAAGCTTATAGATTTCCTGTTTTCAATTTTGTGAATTTTTGTTCGAAACAAGGAAAAAACATGATTATTTACAATTTACCCCATTGCCTTGCTTTTGAGAGCAAAATTTTTGTTTCATTCACTACTATCTCCACGGTCCCTAGACCAGTGCTTGGCTGTATGGTAGATGCTCAGAAATAATTTGTTTAATGAGTGGATCGAAGTTGGGGTTACGATTAATATGTAAAGCTGTTTGTTATATTTGCTTCTTTACATTATAGAAATACATGTAACCAAAGGAAGATTTATGGGAAATGAGGTTTTCCATAGTACATTTAATCTCAGCCCAGTGCTAAAAATACATTGGAAAAACTAGCCAAATTATGTTTGTATGACTCAATCCATTGTTTTGTCTCCGTGACCTTTCTTGATTAACAGCTACCCCTCTTCCTTAATGCTTTATTATTTTCACAACTACTTCTCTGTTTTTAATTTAAATTTAACTTACTTTCATTTAATTATTTTTAATTGTGATACTGAGGTTTGAACCTAGGAGTGCTCTACCACTGACCTACATCCCCAGATCTTTTCTGAGACAAGGTCTTGGTAAGTTATCCAGGCTGGCCTGCAACTTGTGATACTCCTGCCTCAGCCTCCCGAGTAGCTGGCATTACGGACATGTGCTTACCATGCTTGACTCATGTGCTTTTATATTTTGAAAAACATTGAAATTCTTCTGAGAATAAAGTGATACACGAACAAAGTATTAAACAGTTCATTTGAATACCAGGCAAAGTTATTTTAGCTCCTTCTTTATAAGTTTTAATACAGTTTTGTACAGATGACATGAGGAACATTTGCCCAGCTATCTTCACAAATAGACCCTTGTGGTGGCCCACAAATATAGTGGTCCATAATCTTAACAGCAGCAAGCATTTCCCCAGAAGCCACTCAGAATGTATCTCACGTATGAGGGTGTGCTGCAGTGTGGATTTACCTGCTGCTCTCATACCTATTTTTAGTAGAACTGTTGGTTCAATTAATGACATACTCTCTAGCCAGTCCAACAGTGCCTACTGTTTCTGTTTATTCTACTTAAGCATAATCTTAAAGTAGAAAATGCAGGGTTTTCTTTCTTTTTGGGTCATTTAAGGAACTTAAGCGTCAGTGCTTCCTTTTAGGTGATTTTTATGTTAACAAAAGGAATATTATTGCTGCTATAATTTGCATTTTTCTATGTGCTCATTTAATTTTTTCATTTGTAAGGCATTGATCTCATTAGTTTTTGCATAACTCATTCTTAACAATCTACTGTTTGCCTTTAGAAAGCTAACTTGGACTTAAGTTGTAAACATTTATGTTTAACATTTTTTTTTGGATACTATAGTTATATCTACACATGCTATTAAAAATACAATTACATCTGGTCAGGGCCGGGGATTTAGCTCAGTGGTTTCACTGCCTGCTGCACAAGTGCAAGGACCCGAATTCGATCCCCAGTACCAAAAAAAAAAAAAATATTACATCTGGTCTGATCACGACGTTCTTTATAAATATTCATTAATTAGGTATTAAGAACACATTACTGCTCTAGATCAGGTGGATTAGAAACAACACAAAGTATTCCTTCAAAAATGCTTATAATTTAGAAAGGCAAATAAGATGCACAAAATAACTTTTTAGAGGGTAATATTTAACACCCATTCCTATTTAAAATTTGTAGCAAATTGGAATTAGGAGAAAACTCCTTTAATTTGAGAAAAAAATATAAAAGGTACTATAAATATGTTTATAAAATGTCATATATTGAGTAGAAAATCTGATAGAAAAAGGATATGGGACAATTGATAGAGACATAAAACTTTAAAACTCTTACTAATACTCCTCATAGCATGTCTTCCAAGTTTACGTATGCTTAGTTTTTGAATAAGCATTATATAGTCAGCTTATTATATACCGTGAGGGTCTATCAACTTTCAGTTCTTTCTCATTATGAAACCATTGAAAACATTTCATTTATTCAGGCAGTTTTGGTCTTAATTCCTCTTCTTATTTTATCAAAATTCCGTCCTCCTTTGTTGTGTGCTTTTCTTGCATCAGGGCCTCCATGGTTAAACTTCAGGTAGAAAGAATGTGGCAGAAAGCTCAGGGTAGCCTGTTTTTAACCGACAAGTTTACTCTCCTCTTATCAAGTCTTAATTTCATCTCCGGGAGCATCATTAGGTATATGTCACATCTCAGGTGTTCTAAGGAATACTTTATTGGGAATGTAGCGTGAAATACAAGCAGAGCCTCAGTCTTTCTCCATTATCATCTTTCATGCAGGTCTTACACTGCTGCAATCTTAACTTGTTTTTCCTTTACTGTAAACAAGTTGTGGTAAGGATGGGCAATAATGACATAATTGCTAGAAAGTAATTTCAGTTTAAACTTATTAGTCCTTATCTAATATAACCATAGATACCATTGGATGGTATCTTACTTGATGTGACTACGGATAACATTTGACAGTATTTACCATTGATTCTGAAAATTTTCTTTTTCATTTTTATGATTCATTCCCACTCTATAGTGAAAATTAAGGAGATGATCAATCTTTCATGAATCACTGTTTGTTACCATACAAGGAGAATTTCTTTTTCCCTTAGGTTCACAGTGCTTAAAGAGGAGAACAATGTGAACAAATCTCTCACGGAGCTTGATCAGTAGATGAACTGCATTTGCTGCATAGTGATGAGTTCCTAAATTATTCAAGTGTAGTTGCTCAGTTGGATGAAAACAGGCTTTGGTGGAAAGTACAGTCTTAAGATTAAGGTGTACTTTTTCACCAGTGGTTTCGTGGGAGACCCTGGGTAGAGACAGTCTGAAGCTCGGTAGTGCAAAGAAACAAATTGAAATCATTAATAGAGACAGCAAAAATGTGAAGGGAGGGGGGATGTCCCCATTCAGAACACTAGAAATACTAACATGTGGGAGGGCTGGAGGAAGAGGAAGAATAAAGGAGCCAGGAAAGGAGGCTGAGCAGGAAGGCACAAAAACAGAAAAACCACAGATGAATTTGTTATATAGGTTTAGATTCCAAATGCTTAACTAGTTTGCCATGTGAATGATAGATGTTTCTGTTATAATAACTTGGAGTGCATTTCCGGTACCTTCAAGAATGTGAAGGACATGTGATCACAAGTTTGAGGATAGCCTGAGCAACTTATCGAGACCCTGTCTCAAAATTTTTAAAAATTTAAAAAGGGATGGGGAGGGTATAAGTTCAGTGCAAAGGCCCTGGGTTCCATCCCCAGTGATACACACAGACACACACACACCCCTCTTCAGCAGGAGACCTGCATATCCATAATTTCTGAATGTGAGAGAAATAATACAAGTAAATTACAGAATTAGTATTTTATTTCGCTTTTTAGAAATGCAGCTAATAAATTGAGCTGAACTGCTGACTTTGTTTTTTCTGTTAAGATTCTAATATATGAAGACACTGTGTAAGAAAAGAGTAATATATAAGAGATCAGGTACCATCCACAGATGATTTTGTGTCACTTAAAATATGCCAGTGTTAATTGATTAGTGATTTCTCAAATATTTTAATTTCAGGAACTTTTTTTTTTTTTTTTTTTTTTTGGTTCTGGGGATCGAACTTGGGTCCGTGCCGCTTGCGCAGCAGGTGGTGAAACCACTGAGCTAAATCCCCGGCCCTTCAGGAACTTTTTTGTACTTTAAAAAATTTCTGAAGATCATTGTGAGCCTTTGTTATGGAAGTTAATTATCAGTATTTATCAATTAGAAATTAAAACAAAAATTCAAAGTGTTTACTGAATACATGTACTAAAATAAACTCATTACATGTAAGATAAATATCGTTTTTTAAAATACAAAATAACTTCTCTGAAACAGATTTATTGAGAACATTGTTTCTACAAATTTCTATAATGTCCACCTTAACTGAAGACAGATTCTTGTATCTGCTTCTACATTCCACTGTTGTAGTACAGTGTTTCAGCTGAAGTATATGGAGAAAATAACTTCACATACATACATTGTTGAAAAGAGGAGTATTTTATCTTTTCACATAATTGTGTATATTCTTTTTGATATAGCAAAATTTGACAAGTGGTTCTTTGAGGTTAGTTGCACTGTGTGATAGAATGTAACACTTTTTTTACTCTGTTACGTTAAAATTCATGGGTTTACTTGGACAGGCTCTTGTGCATGGTTTTATAATTTGAACATTAATTATTTGGAATATTGATTCATTTAATTGTGTAGGTCTACCAAATATTGACACATCTCACATGATAGCAAAAACCCTCCATACATTGCTATCACTACCACTGTCACTAGAAGTTGATAGTGTGTAGTGAGCTGTTAAACTCACAAAATCAGGATAACTTCTCAAATTCCAGTTTTTAGGTGAAAACTTGTTTTATCATTGGAATAGATGTTGTTAGTTATTTTTGTTGAAATGACTTCTGTTTTTTATATTTAAGAAAACATGTACTCTGGGATAGAAATTTAATACAATTAATAGTTTTAATGGCTTCATATTAGTTTCAATTTCCAGCATCAGCCCCCCCAAAAAGTATTGTGTATGTAATTGATGGGTAGGATAGACTTAACAGTTTGTTTTACAAATAAATATATTATCATAAGTCTTTGTTTTTCTTCCCTCCTTTTAAGGCTTCTCATTTCTTTTGGGGATTATGGGCTTTGATTCAAGCCAAATACTCCACTATTGAGTTTGATTTCCTTGGGTAAGTTTAATTGTTTACATGCATTCCATTTGTCTCTACTTTTGTTTGAATTAACATTTAGAATTCATAGGGAACATTGGTATTTGATCATATTCTAAACACTCCATACATTGATGATCTATAAGAATCTGCTGTGTAGACGCTTGTCCGGTGCTCTCAGCATTAGAAAACTGTCCAGTAGGTGGTGCAATACCCTAAAGAGCTTTCCTTTGAGAACTGTTAGAAAGCTTAGGAAGTGAGTGAAAATGAAGAAAATGGAGTTTTTCAGCTTTCACTAATTTTGTTTTCATTCTCTTTTCTCACTAGGTATGCTATTGTTCGTTTTAACCAGTACTTTAAAATGAAGCCTGAGGTTACTGCATTAAAAGTGCCTGAGTAAAGAAGAGATTTAATTAATTCTCAAGTAGCTGAGCAGTGGTTGTGAATGTTTTTCATAAGAAATTCCAAAAAGCCAGTACCTTAAAATTCTTGTTACTTAATTTGGTTATTTTGCTTTACAAATTATGCCTTTAAACAACCAATCTTATGTTTTAAATAAACTGAATGATGTCAAGAAATAACACCTATTGCTGTCAAAATGTGGTGGATTAGAGTTTGTTAGATCTGCAAAAGATATAAAGATGTCAGGTTAAGGCTTTTTTTCATAATTTATGTGATGTGGGTTATTTATTATAAATTTAACATGATTCTGTGACTGCTTTCATCACTTGCCTCTGTTAAGTGTATACAATGTGAGAGCATTCTAGAGAAATGTTTTTAAAGTTTTATGTTAAGAAGATTGATTTTAGGAAACCCTTCTGGTTGTTCAGTGTAACCTTTTTATTTGATTCACCATAAATGAAATGCATCGTTTGCTTTTGAAATGCCAGTCACTGACTGGTATAGATAACTTAGGATGGTCATATGAACTTAGGATGGTCGTATTCAGGAGGGAGAAATGCATTCACTGTCTTTGTTGGTGATACATCTTTTTAAATTGAATATTAGAAGGCCTTTCTTTTGGGGGGAATACAGTTTAGAATTAAATTCATGTCTATGTAGTCTGGCAATATAAACATATTTACCATATAATCTTGGAATAAGTATAATGATTGTTATCAAAATCTGTATTGAGAAATGTGTGCAAATGCTAAATGTGGTCATTTAAGTTACTAGTTTGTTTTACCTTATCAAATTGTTTCTAACCAAAATTTTCATTTTACTTGATATGCTTTCTTTGTATTAAATAATAGCTTGTACTCCTAATTTTTAAACAAATACACAAAATTTATCATACTTGAAAACAAGAAAATATTGTTCAGATTAAGTTTTTTAAAAATCTGTTCAGATTCATTCTTGACATTCTGGTTTCAAGTTTTAGTTTTTTGTTGTGTCTTTAGTGTGGTAGTGATGACTTGATACATGTAATTTCAGAGTAATATGTTGAGGCAGTTAAAAGAATCAAAAAGGATCATTTAGAGGGCCGGGGATTTAGCTCAGTGGTTTTTCCGCCTGCTTTGCAAGCACAAGGTCCTGAGTTCGATCCCCGGTACCAAACAAAACAAAACAAAACAAAAAAAAGGAACATTTAGAATAGTGGTCTTATACACTTAAAATCTGAAAAAATAACAAAATGTGAATTAAGTAGAAATACTCATGATAGGAGGGCTCCTTTTGCTTTGATTTATTGTGTTTTTGTTTATATATTTTGTTTTGTATAGAGTAAGAGGGAAGCAGTTGTATGGAAGAAAGTTAGTGCTTTGGATAGTTAAGAAGGCTTCAAGTTTCAAGACTTCCAGAGACTGCTCTGTGAAGTTGAGCAGTCACAGTTAACTTTGCTTAGAAAATTAGCCCGACAAGGTTTGCACTTTGGTCACATAAGTGCTCATGTACAAAGTTAGCTTAATGGATCTGCATATTTCAAGTATGCAACTACAAATTTATCCTCTGAGAAATCTTCTGGGGAGTCTGATGTATTATTCCAAATGACTTATATTCTCAGACAAGTGCATTAAAATCTGTGGATTATCTCAAGCTGTTTAAAGGTAATTAAGTAGAAACACTTAAAGGACATTTTAAATGGTAAATTCTAGTTACATAAGTAGGACCTTACTATGTTTGTATGTATAACAGTGTTAGACCAAGATTTGGTTTCTACCTCCCCAATGTTATAAATGTTCACTTTTGTTTTTATAAACCATATTACTGTAAAATTAATGCAATTTCGCCTAACTGACTAAATGAATGGAACCAATTAAATAAAAATTAATAGCTTTTTATAATGTTAAAGTGAACTTTAGAAATTGTTTTTGGTGAAATTTTCGTCCATGTTTAGAACATTACCATGGAATGATAAAGAATATATAATACTTTTGATTTTTTGCTTTCTGTCTTTTAAAATGCAAGAGTATATATCTTGTCAAACTATGGGAGGAGAGAACATCATTTTTCTACCTTACTCAGTATTCTTACTTCCATGGGTTTTGACTGGAGATTTCCTTGAGCCATTGCAGGTAGACTGTGCATAGCTTCTGGTGACACCACTCTTTTAACAGTTTCAGAGAGATACATTTAGAAGTGAATGTAACCAGGAATGGAGGCTGTCCGTTGGCTAGCCCTGAAAGTATGCAATGGATCTTGGGAATAAATTGAGATATGTAAAATAGTGCCCCCACTCTTTGACTGGATTTGGGGTGTTGTGATGCTCCTACTTCCTGTACAGGTTTATGGGATCATGGTACAGACTTAGCAGTAGGGTTCAAAATCACTTCCCTTTATATCGACCACTTAAAGGATTCTAAAGGAGGGTAAATCTCAACAACAACCCGAATTCATCCTTCTGAAATTTGCCCTGTGGCTTGCTGAGATATCAGTTGCCTTTTTATTAAAGCTAAGGAACTTGAATGCCTTACCTAATCACTCAACTGGTAGTAAGCTTATTTTGTAAATAGGAAAATGGTTGTTAGATGTGGCATTCATGATTGTTCAGTGTTAGTCAATAGACCATAGTGGCCTGTATGCTTTAACAAGCAAAATTCCACATCCCCTCTCTCCACCCTTTCCCCTTACATACATTTATAATTTTATCTGACAAGTAATATTTGATTATTTTTCTCTCCTAACCCCATGCTACCACCATTTTCTGGAAGTCAAAGAGATGTGGTAGTAAATCATACTGTTCACATGATCATCTGAGATCAATATGAGCACAAAACTCATCAACTAGGTCTGCCTGGAATGTACATAAAACAGTGTAAATAAAAATTTGTAAATTATTGTGAATTGTATCTTGCATATGAGACTGTGTGTTGTTTTGCATTCTCTTCCCTTTTGTAGAAATTTTTCTGTCAGGAAATGATCCACCTTGTTGGTTTAAGACTGGAAATAGCCAACAGTTCTGGCTGCACAGTGAGATAACAGGAACTGGAAATAGGGTTTATCAGCTTTGGTCAGTGTCAGTACTTATATTTATTTAGCCTCTCAGTGCCTAATAAGACTTTTCCATTTGTTAGTTCCTATTAATTTTTATGAGGTCAGAATTCTGGAAGCAGTGAATTTATATACTGTTATTAATACACATCTATTCTTTAAGTCACAATTCTAAGCTAGGAGAAACTAAATATGATTTAATGATTGCAAAATGAAGTATTATCTTTTCCCATGTTAGGGTTATTAACGTTTTCTACAAAAAACTTTGGAGTTGAGTGCGAATCTAAATCCCATATACATATAAGAGATATGACAAATAATAGCACTTCAATTTAAGCATATCTCAGACAACTTCTGAAGTTTTTCATTATATGTTTGTAAAAGACAGGACATAGGTAATCTTTTAATGACAACTATTTCTATTTTTTGCTTAAAATATTTTAATTTCATTAATGTGTATTAATCCAGACTTCAGGAAACCCCCCCCAACACTCTCAATTAAAAGCTTAATCCTCCACATATAAAATTAATCATGTATTTCTTTTTTACAGTACACAGTAGCCTTATGTACTACCATTTTATGAGTTCATTATTTCATAATACAATGAAAGTATTTGTCAGTTTGATTTTCCGCTTTAAGCATCTTTAAAGCATTTTATAACTATTCAAAAAAGTAATACAGACTTAAGCTTTTAATATTAATTATTCAGTTGATAGACAAAGTTAACCATGCTTTGTGGTAGGAGAGTTTTGTTATTGGCAGCATCTTGCACAAATTTATACAGAAAGCAAATGCTAGTAATTATTATGCACAAAGGAAAAAGAATTACAAGTATGTGGTAAAGTAGCTTTATCTTTATTTTGGAATTGATTTGATCTGTTTTTTCTTTGGTTTATTATATTTCAGAATGCCCTTTTACTGGGAAGTTTAATTATATGTAAGGCATTCTTTTGTTTTTGATTCTTTTTTAAAAAGCAAACATTTGTTATATTGAGCCACCTTTTTTTCTACTACATATATCACTTCTGTGATTACAGTGTTAAGTCTTGGGTTTGATGTCTTTAAACAGAAAAATATATTATTTAAATGATTTCCCCCCCATCTTTGGAAATCAGACAGTAAATGTTGCAATAAAAGAAAATAGTTGAGGTTTATATTTAAATATTAGAAAACAAATTAATAAGATATGTTGAAGAGTTAAAAATTTTTGAGCAGTTTTTACACTAAAAATTTTTCATTTCTGGATCACAATTTGTTATGGAAAGAATCTGAACTATTTGCATGAGAAAAATAATGATGTATAATATAAGCACTATAAATTTTTATGTTTGAGGCATCTCAGACTCAAGCTTTTAGTACCCTTTTCTCCTGAAATTTTCTTTCTTGCCTTTTTGGTGCTTTATGTACTTAGTATACTACTGACATGAAACAACAGGGTTAAAATACCATTGTATCTTTATTCACTATGAATCCTATAGCTTTTCTAATTATGAAAAAAATACTCTAAAATACTGCTCTATCATTTTTTTTGTTAACATTTTACCCACTAAGGGTGTTTGGAATTAATCATTTTAATAAAATTCAAGATGTGTATAAAAATTGAGAACATTGTATACTTATATTTCAACTAGCCAGTGAAGAGTGAGAAATAACCTAGCTGATTGGAATTGTAGGCTGTTAGTTAAATTTTAAAACTTTTAATAAACTTTCAGAGATAGATTAACCCAATTGTATCCATGTAAACTAGCTCCTGTGACTTGGAAAAGAACCCCCCAAAAGCAGTGGAGGAGATGAGAGTGTTTGCTTGCTATAGTTTTAGTTGTGGTGTGCTACTACTTAAATATAGGTAGTGACATACTGAAGTTTTTATTGTTCAATAATAGGAGGTAGTTTTCTGTATGTATCTACTAAAGTAATTATAAATGAATGGAATTGGGAAAGAAGAAACTTTTTGACTATACTGTATTTAGGATCCTTTGTACAGCTAGGTGAAGTTTCCATGATATGAAGTATTTGAATTTTAACATATACTGTCATTCTAAGGAAGAAGAGATGATATCCCATGTGCAAGGGGAAAAAAAAAGAGTAATTGTCATTGCATTAAGCTGTATGTTGAACTGGGAAATTGTGGCATAAAGCTTAAATTTGTGTTCATCAAATGTGAACTATAGTAGTATAATGCTGCTTTGTATATACTGTAAGTGCTACAAATAGTCTCAGCACTGAACATGTATTGATACCTCTCAAATGAATGCAACCTTTGATGTGGGTGTTTTGATATGCCTCAGAAAGTATCTGAGTGAGAATTTGTTTGGTAATGGAGATACTTCCTGTTTTTTGTTGCATATTTTCACGTTTAAAAATTAATTTTTACATTTTTACTGCTATTAATTTAAGTAAAATTAGTTCTATGGATAAAAAGGCATTGCCTGTGAAGAAAATTTAAAAACAGCCTCATTCATGTAACTGCTTAAGTAAAAATACATTTTTGTTATATGTTCATGAACTTTAAACAAAGCTGTGTTTTTCTGTTTAAACATAAGTAATGTTTAGGCTTTATTTCTCATTAATAAAGCTTTTTACCATTGATTAAATGAAGGAATGTATCTTTCTGAAGAGATTTATATTCTGTAAATAAAAATTGGTTGTAACAATAAAGTTGGGTTCTAACTACAGTGTATCCATAATTATTTTTATTATGCCATTTTATATTTTTGTTTTGTAAAAGAAATATAAGACCTTTAAAAGGTAATTTATAACTGCACAATTCCTAATAGCTAAATCTTGGAAGTAGTCTGTATGTCTATCAACAGACAAATGACAAAGTGTGGTATTTACACACACTGGAGTACTACTATGCCATAAAGATCAGCTTACACCAGAGAAACAGTTCAGTATTTATACGTGTGTCCTTTTCATTTCACATAAAAGTATGGTCTCATGGTGCACCCATTTAGCTATAAATGACTGGTTTATATTTCTTTAGGCTGAGTAGTACTCCCATTTTATAAAAGAACCACGTTTTCTTTATCCAATCCTCGGTTGATGGGCATCACTGTGGTATGATGCTTTTAATTCTTTTGGGAAGATACCAAGAAGGGAGATATCTGGGTCAAATGGAACCTCTAGTTTTAGTGTAAATGAGGACTAACATGTATAATAGATATTGTGGAATAGGAAGGAAATGTTCAAAGGGGAATGTGAACTAAGGAGGCGGGGAGGGGGAAAGGAAAGAAGGAAATAATGGAAACAAAGCTTCCGTAAATAAGGAGGGGTGGAAGGGAAGGAAGAGGAGTGGGAAAAAAAAAGAACCAAGACATTTCATATACAGGTACAGATTCCCTAAGATGAATGTTATATATCATGTAGACTTAAATGAACTCAATAAAAAAGATACACTGAGTCATTTGTAGGCAAATCGATGCACTTTGAGACCATAATGTTACGTGAAATAAATCAGACACACAAGCTTAAATATCACATAGTTTCTCTTTCATGAGAAAGCCAAATTATAAACGAAGAGCAAAATAAAATATAGACAGTAAGATGAGCTAAATCTTTCTCATGGGGAAGGGGATCAAGAGGTGGGAGGAGGGGAGGAGAAGAGAGTGGGAAAAGGAATTAAAGGTACATGTACCAACCTCACACAAAGAATGTGAATACACACTTGTAGGGGACAGGGGAAGGGGACGTTACCAGAACCTCTGCAGTGAGTCCTGGTCTCCTGCGAGCCACGGCAGCACACGGCGAATTACAGGAAAGGGAGAAAAATGAGACTGAGAAGAAGCTGAGCTTTGGGTCTGATCAGTGCTGCTCTAGGCGGCAAAGACAAAAACCCCTAGCTTGCAGCACCTTTTATTTAGTACATCCAAAGAAACAAATGTAACGAATAATGTAGATTTCAGTATCATATTGGGATGAACAAGGTGTAACAAAAGACTGGGTGGGGGGCGGCGGAAATCTAAGAACAATGAGGAACTATGCAGATGAAGATTTAGTTCCTCCCAGGAGCTACACAGATGAAGATTTGGTTCCTCCCAGGGCGTCTCCCACAGGTGTGGTCTTGTCCTGGAGCATTACAGCATCATGGGATCATTGAGATCTTCCTTGTGACTTGAGGCCAAAATGGAAGTATGTCTTGGAGTGTTATTGCTGGCCTGTAGGCAGGAGAACTAGGCCTACTCAAATGATTTTTCCCTAGAATTATGTAGCATTGCTCCCAACACACACTAATACAGAAAAGTATATGTGCATTTTGTGATTAAATCTCATTTTCTGGTTTTACAATATATTACTAAGTTTTGAAAATTTACTTTTGAATGAGAATTACTACATAATTTATGGACACATTCTATTTAGTTTAAGTTTGATAACCTGCTGGGCGTGGTGGCCACATGTGCCTATAATCCCAGCACCCAAGGGCCTTAAGGCAGGAGGACTGCAGGAGGTTCCACACCTGAACTGCATAGAGAGACCATGTCTCAGAAAAACCAGTGGTAACCTTCTGACCACTCCTCTGTACTTTGGGTCTTCACTATTCATTAAGTTTTTAAATGTTCAGGTACTATAGTGGTGGATATAAAAAGATCAGTAAGATGAGCACAGCCTTCAAGTGGTATTTACCAGGAAGATCAATTTTTTATAACAAAAAGTAATTACACATTTTTATAGAATGTTTTCCAAACTGGGTTTATCTAATGTTTTCTGATGAAGCTTTAGATTGTACATCCCCAACACAAAATACTACAACCAAAAGAGATGTTAACAGTTGTTAGGTTTTCATACCTGAGACAAGAAACTAGTTGTTGATGTTCATTTTGATTACCTAGCCAAAGTATTGATCTGTCTCTTAATTGTATTTGTAATCGCCTCAGCCCCGCAGGGTGCTGGGATTACAGGTGTTGCACCATCATGCCTAGCTGCTTTGCCTATGATTTTTTCTTGTACTAGGGATTGAACCCAGGGTCTTTGAAGTGAGCTATAAAGCAGCCCCCCCCCCCCCGCACCTCCTTACTTTTTTGAGACAGGGCCTTGCTTAATTGCTAAATTACCCAGGCAGGGCTTAAACTTGTGATCCTCCTGCATCAGTCTCCCAGAGTGATGATGGGATTATAGGCATGTGCCACCATGGCCTGCTTGCCTGTTCATTTTAAATTCTATCCTTTGAATACAGCTTGTTGAACGTCAATAATATTCTACTTTTCCTTTTTTCTCCATTTTATCTAGTTACATTCTTTTCATGTCAGAACATATTCTTCCAATTTGTGTCCCAACCTTTGTTTTATTTTTAGTGCCACAATTAATCATATTAATGCATCAGTCCTTTAAACACAGTTCCTTCATTAGCTCCTGATTGCATGAGGTTCATCTTTTACTGTAGTACAGGCTTTGACAAACTGGGTATCGTTACAGTATGAGTATTGTTACAGTTTTAAAGAGTTGTTGAAAAAATCGAAGAATATGTGACATCATATGTAACCTGCAAAGCCTAAAATATTTACTATCTGGCCTTTTATGGAAAATGTGCAGCCTTCTGCCCTAATAGATTCCTTAGGAAGTACATTTATATACAGTATTATGTTGTATACTTACACAATCTGGACTTTTTCTGTAACTTTGATGTTAAGACTTGACTGGATATGATATTCTTGACTGGCCATAACTTGCATTCCTTACGTTATTCATGTGGTGCCTTGCATTTGAAAATTTCTAATGCTGGCCCAATTTTCTTACCATTTTAAGAATATTGATTTTGATGATTGTTTATTTCTGCCTGTAGGTCTTGATGCTTTTTTCTTTGTCCTTCAGATGTAATAATTTTACCAAGAATTTTGTCATTGGTTGCTTCTGGTTAATTTTCAGGATATGTGGGGTTTCTTTCAATATTCTCCATATTAGTCTTTTTTTTTTTTTCCTTTTGATATTAGTTTGGCTTCTCAAATCCATCTTTCGCCAGGCCTACAGGAATCTTCCTAAACAAAAGAAAAAAGAAAAAAAAATTACCTTCCCTATTAAAAACTCTTCAAAGCCTTCATATTACTGGGCATATGGAATCAAGATTTTTAAGATTCAGAGATGTCTGTGGTTTGGTCTCAGCCTTTCTCTTCTTTCAAATTTTCTGAATTCCTTGCCTATCTGTTCATGGTTCTGGCACTTATCAGTCTATGCTTTTGTTTGTGCATTTCTCTTCTTTTTCTTTTTCTTTTTGGTACCGGGATTGAACTCAGGGCCTTGCGCTTGTGAGGTAGGTGGCTGAACCACTGAGCTAAATCCCCGACCCCTTGTTCATGCTTTTCTTGACCAGACTAGTTCTTACTCTGTTAAAACTTTAAAAAGCTCTGCCAAACTACTTTGGAAATACCAATTCCAGAAAGCCATCTTTCTGCTTGGTCAGTTGTCCCCTCTGTCTCCTTGCCCTCAGCTCACTGCAGTGCTCTAGGGAAACTTCATCATATAATTGCCTCCCGGTGTTGTGTGTTCCTGCACAGACTTCATGCTCATTAGCCACGTGAATTTTATGTGTTTCTAGAGTCCCAGAACCTCACATAGTGGTAGGTACATGATGAACTTCCATGTATGTTTCCTGATGAAAAGAATTGTGTAGTTGAGTATTTGCAATCAAGCAAAAAAAGGAAAGAAAAGAAGCCAAGGTTTGATCTTGGAGAGAGGTAGACATTTTGGAAATAGTTGTCCAGAATAACTTTCTGAGTTGATAACTTGCAAAGCCACTTCATCGGAACTGTACTTCACAGCTTTGAAGTCAGAAATCCATTTTACTCTTTCACCAGAGACTTTTTTGGGGGGAAGGGGGATGGTTTGGTTTTATTTAGTTGAGCCCCAATTGAGGTCGTATGTACATACTCTTAACTGCTATTGATTTCTCAGTGATGACCAGAAATCTAATATCCTAGCAAACTTTTGAAGCTCCCACTCTGTATATTTAAAATAAATTCATTATTATTATTTTTTTGTGTTGCAGATTGAATCCAGAGCATTCACTGTGAGCTATATCTGCAAACGACTTTTATTTTTGATTTTGAGACAGGGTCTTGCAAAGATGCTAAGTATCCCAGACTGGACTTGAACTTGTGGTCCTCATGCATAACATTGAAAGAAGCAGTAAATGATTTTTTCCCCTCTAGATGAGTTGCAGTCAAACCCTGTAATTGTTTTTTCTATAATACTACATGAAAGTCAATACAACCCAAGTCAAGCATTATTGACTTACACCAGAACTTAATTTTTTTTTTTTCAAAGTGGCTGTTTATAGTAAGTTGCTAGGCAGGCAAGAATCAACATTTTTCTAAAAAATTGGCAATTGCATTGGATTATTTCCTCCAATGCCTTCATTCAACTATAACATTACAGAAGAGGAATAAATCTAAAACTTCTTTGACATATCATATTTTTCTGTATTATTTTCATTCAACAAAAGATCATGAATCAAACATTCTAGTTTCTACTCAAATTTTTCTATTTGGTTTTCGCAACTATTCACTCTGTGAATCTTAATTGTTGAAAAATTATTTAGGCTCTTTTATAAGACTGTATATTTAGTAATTAGTTGATGAATAGTTGCCATTTTAATCTTGCCACATTTTAAGAAGCTAATTCAAACTGTTCTCTTTTTTTCTAGTTTTGCAACACTTGGAAAGAATTTTTTTTTTTGGTACTG